TTTGTGAACGATGTGTTCACTGGTGTACTCTATCCCCCTCATGGTTTCCTTACGAACATTTATTGTTGAGAAAACCTCTTAGCAGTGGTGTCCATCCCGATGATAATCCTTAGGCTAGGTCCCTTATGATAGGTGTTTTAGGGACGTAAAGTGAGGATAACGGGAATGGGTAATCGGTTTATTGTTGGTTGATGAAATTAATAAATTTATTTATTGTGGGTTGAAAACCATATGTGCTCACCAGGCTCCCAAGCCTGACCCACTCAGTTTTCTCGTATACAGGTAGTGGAAAGAGGGCACATGAGTGATGATCTGATGAGAGATCAATGGATTATAGGCCACTAGAATAAATAAATATTATAGTGCCTATGTTGTTTATGTTTATGCTTTTGATCTGTATTAACAATGATATCCCAAGGTTTTTAATATTATACATTTCTACGGAAATGCTTTGATAAATTCTTTATCATATTTTTTGGAACAAATTCTGCAATATATTTCTTTATAAATATACTTTGATTTTCAAATAAAGCATAAACAAATCGGTCTTTTCTGGCCGTGAAAATGGGGATGTCAAAAGTTAGGGCGAGGCCCGTTATACTCAGCGGGCGGGGCCGTTATTCGAGTTAGGGTGAGGCCCGCTACACTCAGTGGGCGGGGCCCATTATGCTAGTTTGGGCGGGGCCCGTTACACTCATCGGGCGGGGCCCATTATATGTTTGATATGTATGGTATGTGGTATTTGGGGGAAATTCACTAAGCTTTGTGCTTATGATTTTCAGTTTTTGTTTCAGGTACTTCCGGTGCAAAAGGGAAGAGCTCGGGGTGATTGTAGTGCACACACGATATTATTCTGCATATTTTTGACTACTCTGATGTTTTTGATGACATAGATGATACATTTGATTTACCATGGTTGCGATAATGTTTTGGATAACAATTTTATTAATTTAAAAATCGAAATTGTTGGTCTATATTTTTGGGACGTTACACAATCCAATATTAATCTAATAAATATCAAATTTTCATAATTATATTTGGTTATTATTTGGTAAAAAATGGATTATTTAGAATTTGTTGGATAATGGATAACCGATAACCAAATGTATTAAACCAATCAAATATATGCAATGGATTAAACCGATCCAATCCAATATTCAGTTAGATTGATCATGTTGCATATAACGAATTATATTGGACCAGTTGACAAAATTCAACATCTAATAGATAATTGGATTGGATCGGTCGACAAAATCCACATTTCACCAAAAACCTTATTTCTATTTGCAATTCAGTAAATGAGTCTCGTGTGGATATTCTCTTTTATGTTAGTTTTTTGCTACTCAATAACCGCGTCACTAAGGAAATACTAGAAAATGGAAAATGTAAGAATGGGTTTTACATGCTTGAGCAAGGAAAAAGGGTGTTCTAACAACATTGAAAAATAAACGGATTTATACTTCTTTCGAGCCTTGGACGGGTGATTAGGGCACATCACTTTCAACCTTATTTCTTTATTAGATAAGCCGGAATATTTATTAATTACTTATGTTTTTACTTAGACCTAACATTTTTTTTCTTTTCATATCTCTAAGAACAAGTGTTTGCCTTTTGATAACAATTTAAAACAATCATTACATGTTTTTGGAGTTGATACAGTATGATTTGTGTGGTCCAACTCCTCTTACCTCTGTAAATGGCTTCTCGTATTATGTAATTTTTGTGGATAATTATTCTCAATTTATTTTGTTTTATCCCTTGAAGGCTAAATTTACTTTTACAATGTCCTTGTGAGTTTTTCTAACACTTATTGAAACTCCGTTAAAACATTTCAAAGCGATTGGGTATCAAGTTTTTTTAATCAGTGCGTTCATCAAATACTTATGGACATGACACTCATCATTGTATTTTTCGTACTTACACTATGCAACAAAATGATATGATCGAATTCAAACATTGCCATATAGTCCATACCGATCTTTATATGCTTTTTAATACATACGCCCATACCACTCTTTGGGTTGATGTCTTTGATCGGTTGTTTATATCATAAATCACTTAGCTTAAAATATTTTACAACACAAAATTTCTTTTTAATTACTCTTTGTGATAATGTCGAACTATGATGTGTTTTGCATTTTTGGATGTCGTGGTTTTCCCTATTACGAGATTATTCATCATACAAGTTAGCTCCTCATAACATTCTTACATTTATTTGTTATAGCACAACACACAATGCAGTTTTCTTGACATAATTTGATGAGCAAACTTTTTCTTATGTCGGTAAACTACCTCCCGTTATCTTGCACATCTTGTGTTCATAAACTTTGAAGAACCATCTGATCGCCTACCATTTTATACTACCACAATCAGGCTTATCTCATGTGATTAATTCTAACGTGACCAACATAATCCTATTGATGCCATTTGTCGCCATCTCTAGCCACCGCCAGTCGGCTGCTAGCTTTTGTCCTCATTTTCCAACAACCACCTTCTACCATCCTATCCTCTACCACTCTAACAACATCGTTCCCTAATATACCCCATGGTAACTCATTTGCGTGTTGCTATTTTTAAACCTAAACATTTTGTTGATTTATTGAAAATCTTGTCATGTTCGTTCATTTATTAAATAAACAACCGTAAACAAACTTTTTATAGAACTGATTAGGTTCGTTTACCTTCCATAAACAAATGAGACCACTATTCCAATTCGTTTGCTAAACTAAATCGAATGAAAATCTTATTCATATTCAAACAATAGTTTATTGGAAGTTGGAAGCCAAACGCAAAAGGCCTAATGGCTCAATAATTGGGAAAATACCGCCAATAGACAAAAAATGGGGGTGAATTTCAAAATTTGATCATAAAAATTGACTTTTCCAGTTATAGTCATGCATTCCGCGGAGGGTCCTCCGCGGACCTCCGCGGATCTAAGATTCCTCTGCGGACAGGGCTATTTTTGTCATTTCACCCTCTTCTCTTTCACAAAATCAAACATTCCTCTTTGGTCCCCCTACTGGTCCCCCGGAATCCTCTTTGACAAACACATTCCTCCGCATCGACGATTCCGGCGACACCGACATCAAATCCGGCGACAACGACGTCAAACGACGTCATTTTCCGGTAATACGACTTCAATTTCGACTTACGACTTCAATTCCGACGACATACGACTTCAATTCCGGCAGTTATGGAGGGCAATTTTCCCGATATTTTGGCCGACGGATTTGGCTCCCGGGTATTTCTCACCATCATTTCTTTGGATTAATGTAGTATATGTATGATATTTGTCGAAACCGATTTGATTAAATGGAAAATATAGGTAAAATAGACAGATTTAGATGAAATCGCCGTTGACAGGTTTCCGATTGGGCATGATCCATTCCGCGGAGGTGTATGTCACTCCGCGGAGGGTTACGTCAGTCCGCAGAGGACCCTCAACGCAGTGATGTAATTCCACCACGGAAAGGATAAATTGGACCTCCGCGGAGGTATTAGTCAATCCGCAGAGGGTTCTCCGTGGAATGACCTGTAGTCTTCGTGGAATGACCTGAAACTGATTTTTTCTAATTTTTTTTTTGCTGTTTTTTCTGACTTTTTATATGAAATTAAATGTTATGTTTTGCAGCACGAAGATCTCAATCAAAAAGCGGATTTAACTTTAAAAGGTGTGATGGGTACTATCATTAAAGACTATTTTCCGCGCCTAACACAATCACAACGACAATTATTCGAAGCTTCGCCGTTCGGAGTATTCCTAGGAATGCATATCCCACATGGTGATCTGTTGCTTGTGCATTTGATGATGTTGCACGAAGTAAGGTGTCAACAAGTATTTGAAATGGGGAAGTTTCTTTTTGATATACAAGGGAGGCATTTGGATTTTGGTGAAACTAAATATATTTTCATTTGTGGTTTAAAAGTTGGTCCTTATGTGGATTTACTCCACGACGAAAAAGGCCGGTCAGATTTAAATCTTCATGCTCGGTTGTTCCCAGACATTTCTGATGCACGTTTGCGGTTGAAAGATTTGGAAGACTTCATTATGTCTCCGAATTATTTGACAGTTCAAGATGAAGATGCTGTGATGCTTATCCAGCTTGTTTTTATGTTGAAGGGACTCCACTGACAGGACGTTAAAACGTGCATTCCCGCTGCAGTATACAAGCTTACTGATAATAGAGATGATTGGAACAGGTATTACATTTACGTATTGTGTATAAATACAATACAATAATAATAAATTGAAAATTTCAGGTTTGCATGGGGTACGTATTTTTGGACCTATACTTCGCGGATGATGCGTGGATGTTTAAGAAGATAGAAGAATTTAGACTATTGAAGCAGGACAATCCCGAAGCCAACAAAGTACACTAGTATAGCGTTCCCGGTTTTATGCTTCCGTTTAAGGTTAGTTTCTAATACATTTAAATAGTTATCATAGTTTTGTTTTTATACGATAAAAACATTGAACTTCGGTTTGTAGTATAAAATACCGTTCTATTATGATTTTTATACTATAATATCATGATACTTACATTTTTTTTCTATAGATATGGATTTTGGAGACGTTCCCCGAGGCAACCAATTTTTATATACGCACGCCGACAGAATTGCTGCGGATGAGGTCGTGGAGAAGTAAAACACCGTTATCTTGGGATAACTGTCGTCGAATAATCAACGTGTCTGTGGTATGCTTTTATATTAAGGATTATTTATACTTACAAATTCCAATGTATTTTCATTATAAACTAACAATTTGATTTTAATTTTTGCAGCCTAACAACGAACCTATTCGAGTCGTGGCAGACGCGACGGAGCTGATGTTGCCGTTTTATGTTCGCTACATCAATTGGACTCTAAACCATGAAGAGTCTCCCCCACGGCAACATAGTCCGGTCCGAAATAGTCCACCTGTTGTTGCCTCGCCTCCCCCACGACAAGATAGTCCGGTCCGAAATAGTCCACCTGTTGTTGCCTCGCCTCCTAGAAGAAAGATGTACAAGTCGGAAACATGTTCGACTGAATCTGCCACAAATGCTTCTTCCTCGCAACATCCTGAAATAGAAAGAACTTATACATCAAGCGACACATCAACGAAGGTTCTAAAGAAGAAGAAGACTAGCACAAAGGCATTAGTGAAGCGTCTACTAGGCGTTGTGGCTGACTTATCTTCTAAAGTAGATCGTGTATTACAGAAAAAATGAGCCAAACACACGTTTTGTAGAGGAGGAGGAGGAGGAGATGATAAATGAAGATGAGGAAGAAGCATATTACCATGGTACACAGTTCGAATATGGTGGTCTTGAGGGGGAAGTTGGGCGTACACCTACGCATGGTGAGTCGTCATCGGACGTGGGGGAACATCACTTAAAAACAGTGACTCCTATTGGTAGGCCGCAACGAAAGAGGGTTGTTGCATGGTATCAGCGGACTCCGTTCACAGTGGTACAAAACTCATATTTTAAATTTGGTATATTTATAAAATATTACATTATTGAAAATGATTTAACATGTTAATTTTTTAGATGCAATCGACACCAAAAGTGAAAAAAATCAGCAAAACAAGGAAGAAAAAAATAGTGGAGAGTCCTGAAAAAGCAAATGAGGACATTGTCAATGCAGAGACTAGTGATGTTTCAAACCATCTCTTGTTGGACAGTATTTATGCTGCTAGCACGATGAGTTTTTGAAAAGAATGGAGTATGATCTCTTCCAAACTCATCACTAAACATAGGCTGCATATGCTCCCACTGGATATAGATTTTTGGTCGAGGTTACTTGTTGTTACTCACCAAGGGTGGTTAATTTCTTCGGTAACATTCCTTTAATTAAAATTTTAACTACTTTTTTAGACGAGAATTTATATAAATAATTCTTAAATTTTTAATTTTAAATGTACAGCATATTGCGATATGGAGTTCCTTGCTGATGGAAAGGCGGCCGACGAACGCAAGGTGGACGATATTTCCTCAAGAAATTAATTTGGAACCCGAAAAATCATTTTTACTTAGGAATATAGCAAATGGGCTTGGAGGCCGTCCTAAATGGAAGGATGTGGATATGGTTAGTTAAGTTTAATAATTATTAATTTATATATATAATATTACTGAAATTACTACTATTTAATTTAATTTTTTTTTTGCAGGTTCTATTTGTAATAAATGTTGTTGGTGCCCATTGGTTTATGGCCAGGGGCGGTCCTAGCTAGGTGTCCGGTGTGGCACCGGCAACACCTAGCTTCCGCGCACGTAGTAGAAAAAATTTCGTTTTTTTTTTTAAATTTTTACCTATTGTGCCACTAAGTAAAAAAAATCGTGCAACTACTAAAAAATTTTTGTGCAACTAGCCAACTACATAAAAAAAATATTGTCACTGTATCGGGAATTACCAAACGAAAAAAAAATAATAACGAGCCCAAATGTCCAATGTTTTAATCAATTATTGTCTAATAGTCCAATTGCCCAAAGCCCAAAATAAAAACTTAATTGGATAAATTAGCAATTGGGCTAATTGCTTGTAAAAAAATAGTCCAACTGCCCAATCCTAATTAATTGAGTATTATCGGTTGAAAAAAAAATTCACGATTACAGAATCGAAATTAGACTACTCGACTTCCTGTCTTCCTAATTTGCGTAATTGCGTCCAAAAATCCTTCGGCCAATCGAGAATCGACCTTCGTAACTTCGTCCTTCGATCGTGGCATCGTGCCTTGGCAGACTCGTGAGTCGTCAGTCGTGACTTGATCGATTTCATTGTTGGATGATCGATCACAATCCTTGATCAATTTCCACAATTCTCTTGAAGACTTGAAGCAAGTATCGACCCTTTTCTGTCTTTTTTCAATTTCTACTGTTTTGGTTTATTGGTTAACAAATAACAAAATCCACTTCAAAGTTCAAACTTCAAAGCCCTACACTACAATGAAACAAGTAAGTTCTACTACCAATTCATTTAGATATTTGAAACTGATATGTTTTTTTTGAAGTTATTGATTGACTTGGGTGAAATTGATTTGTTTTATTGAAGTTATATTGTTTGTTTAGGTACAATAGCTATGTTTTTATTGAATTGATTGTTTGATTAGGTGAAATTGATATGTTTTATTGAATTTATTGTTTAATTAGGTGAAAGCAACTTGTTTTATTGAAGTCATTGTTTGATTAGGTGTAATTGTTATGTTTTATTGAATTTATTGTTTGATTAGGTGAAAGCAACTTGTTTAATTGAAGTCATTGTTTGATTAGGTGTAATTGACTAATTCTTATGTTTTTATTGAATTTATTGTTTGATTAGGTGAAAGCAACTTGTTTAATTGAAGTCATTGTTTGATTAGGTGTAATTGACTAATTCTTATGTTTTTATTGAATTTATTGTTTGATTAGGTGAAAGCAACTTGTTTAATTGAAGTCATTGTTTGATTAGGTGTAATTGACTAATTCTTATGTTTTTATTGAATTTATTGTTTGATTAGGTGAAAGCAACTTGTTTTTATTGAAGTCATTGTTTGATTAGGTGTAATTGTTATGTTTTTATAGGTTAAACTAAGTGGTTTTTTTACCAAAAGACAAAGACCTAATCCTAATGAAAGAAAAGACTTACTACGAGAGCAAATTTCGTTGGTGGTTAATGTTGTTTGTGCCTCGTGTAAAAGAAAAGACTTACTACGAGAGCAAGCAAGAGAAAGGGTGCAAAAAGGCTTGTGTAGTGGTGAACTTGAAACCGGGAGAGGGTTAAATCAAGAGACAACACTTGTTCGAGCGGGAGAAACAAGACGGGGTTCACATTTCAACACACTCACAAGTTTGATGAAGTTGTTTGCGGATGTTCTTGTAGTTTTAGATTTTGTGAAAGAGGAGGGATCGTCATTGGCAAACCGTCAACAAGCATCTGGAATCTTAGCATATTTTAAATCATATGAGTTCGTGTTTTACTTACATATGATGTATGACATTTTACACCTCAAGGGTACATTGTCAAAGCAACTTCAAAGAAAAGATCTAGACATTTTAGAAGCGGCTTCGATGGTTAGAGGGACAATGGAGACATTGCAATCTTTTAGAAACATAGGGTTTGCTAGCATTTTGCCAAAAGTATCATCTTTTTGTCAAACACACGAAATTGATACTTTAGATATGGAAGAGTTGTATATTGATGCGAGAAAACGTAGGACTACAAAGACTAATAGGTTTCATTTTGAGGTTGAAATCTTCAACACGGTGGTAGATATGCAACTTACAGAATATCGGGATCGATTTAGTGAAACAAGCACCCAATTACTAGAATACATGGGTGCTTGAGCCCTTGTGATTCATTTGCACAATTTGACAAATCAAAGTTATTGAAGTTGGGTAAGTTATACAAGTATGACTTTGATGATTCAGATATGATAGACCTTGAAGGACAACTTGAGATATTTTATCACTCTTGCATCAAAGATGAGCGCTTCACTAGTTTGAAAGGAATTTCCGACCTTTCTCGTTTGATGGTTAGTACGGGGAAGCATCGGTCTTATCCTTTGGTTTATAAGCTTTTAAAGTTGGCTTTGATATTACCCGTAGCAACCGCAAGTGTAGAAAGATGTTTTTCAAAGATGAAGCTCTTGAAGACCGACTTGCGTAACAAAATTGGCGATGAATTTTTGAACGACGCATTGCTTTGTAATGTCGAGACCGAAGCACTTGCGAAAGTTGAGAATGAAAAAGTAATGGAGCGGTTTCAAAAGATGTCTGCACGAAGAGGACAAATTTAAATTCTAATAGATCGTTGTTATATTATGTTTAACCATAAAAAAAATTATATTATTGTTTTATATTATGTTTGACCGGAAAAAAAATTTTGTGCAACCCCTACTACTAATTCCTGCGTCCGCCCCTGTTTATGGCGGTGCTACATTTAGATACCTGGAAAGTAGATATTTATGATTCAGCACGACCTATGGATTACTTCTCAAAGTACTTAACTGGTGGAGAATTCAAAAGTTTTGGAGATAGTATTATCTCAGAGTTAGATGCCATTGAGTACTGGAACGATTTCCCCGTTGGACACAAAGACAAAGCAAAGGTGGAGTTTATTGATGTTGTAGACGCGCCACAACAAGAATATAGTCTTGATAGAGGGGATTGTGGAGTATTTGTATGCATGTTTATGGAAATGACTATTTCGGGGGTACCAGTGAAGATTTTTACGGCACGTAAAGATGCGGGATTTCTCTACAGACATAAGATGACAAATATTATTTGGGATACTATATAGGCCCTACTATATAAGTTGATATTAGGAACTTTGTATATATATATATATATATATATATATATATATTAATATTAAATATTTGGGATACTATATAGGCCCTACTATATAAGTTGTTTTGTTTAATATAAATATGTGTTTTATCCTATATTTTTTGAAACATAATTCACCAACATATATTACGATACATTTAAACAAAATAAACATTATAAATAACATAATAACATTACACTTGACATTACAAATAAAAGATGAACAACTAACAAACATTACATAAAACATTACGAATAAAAGAGTCGTCTACATGAAAAAGGGTTTATTTTTAACCAGATTCCAAACGTCTGTATACTCGAAATCAGTTTCATCAAACTAGCACAGGTAATATCCGTTCAAGTATTCAAGAAGTTCGTCATCGTCAGCATCAGAGCATCGCATTTTCTCATAATTGTAGCATCGATTGAACCATGTGACTTTTGTCTTTAAATCCATCCATTTACTAACAATATCGGGTTTTAGTCGTTCTTGTCCTTGTCCCACCTTATAGTTGAACAAAGCTACTAAGCGGGACCATTCATCACCAACAAGGCAATTAAGGGGAGCCATTACCGGTAGACCCTCGTAAATGATAATCCAACATCGTGTTAGGACCAACACCTCTGTTGTCGTCCATGGAGATGTACCATTTGTTGGAGCAGCCGCATTAGACGGATTAGCTGCATTTGAAGAAGTTGGTACATTGGATGCCATTTTGTGAAATGATCCCTTACCTCTAATTCGGACATATAGACACATGCTTTACTATATATAAAAAGATAGGTAACGCGTCATGACAAACAGCTATGCGGACTGACAAGTCAGTAACGCGGACTGAAAAACAGCTATGCAGACTGACAAGTCAGTAACGCGGACTGACGAACAACTATGCGGACTGACAAGTCAGTAATGCGGACTGACGAACAGCTATGCAGACTGACAAGTCAGTAACGCGGACTGACGAACAGCTATGCGGACTGACAAGTCAGTAACGCGGACTGACGAACAACTATGCGGACTGACAAGTCAGTAATGCAGACTGACGAACAGCTATGCGGACTGACAAGTCCGTAACGCGGACTGACGAATAGCTATGCGGACTGACAAGTCGGTAACGCGGACTGACGAATAGCTATGCGCCATGACAAAAAGATAAAGACTCATCTCGAGCTCTCACTGAACGTCATGACCTCATTGCGGCGGAGTGCAAAGAGGTTGAGGAAATGATGACGACTACTAAAAAAAATCAAAGATCATGAGGAATGGATAAAAAAACTAAGAAGAATATCAAACTTTCTGAAAAATGGCTTGCTGACAAGGATGCAGAAATGATAGAACTTGGGAGGCAAAAGGACCGTATAGAAGATAAAATAAGAATTAGGGACGACTACATAACAATGGAGAAAGAAATGTATCCTTTGCAATTCCTTTAAGTTAATTACTGTTGTTGTACGTTTACTATATGTTTCTGGCTTGTTGAATGTATTATCTTCGAGTTTTAGTTATTATTCTACTAGTAATGATGCACTAATATAATCATAATATTACCCATCATCTTTAAAATAAACACACCATTTCAAAATACACAAATTAATGTCCTCTAAAACAAAACATAATTAATTATAAATACAACATCAATCATTCAAATCAAACGTTGAACAATAGTCTTCTTCTGCGTCCCACTCGTCATTACTGACTTGTCAGTCCGCATAGTTGCTCATCAGTCCGCGTTACTGACTTGTCAGTCTGCATAGCTATGCGGACTGACAAGTCGGTAACGCGGACTGACGAATAGCTATGCGCCATGACAAAAAGATAAAGACTCATCTCGAGCTCTCACTGAACGTCATGACCTCATTGCGGCGGAGTGCAAAGAGGTTGAGGAAATGATGACGACTACTAAAAAA